TAAGAAATGATTTGACAATTGTAGGGAAATTGGCAGTGGCAAAGGCCCATGAATTGGGGATTGAAAAGGTGAAGCACAAGCTGGAATTTGCACAGCTATATGGAATGTCAGAGGCACTTTCCTTTGGTTTGAGCAATGCAGGGTTTCAGGTTAGCAAGTACATGCCATTTGGGCCAGTTGAAATGGTGATGCCTTACCTCCTCAGAAGGGCTGAGGAGAATAGAGGGCTCTTAGCTGCTTCAGGCTTTGATAGGCAACTTATGAGGTATAAGCTAAAGGATTTTTTTTTTTTTTCTTTCCAAAAATCTCTTACATAAGGCAAAAACATTATTGGCTTTGATGTTATATGCTAACAATGGTAATTTTTCTTTATGTACTTACAGAAAGGAGTTGGGAAGGAGACTCAAAGCTGCAGTGTTCTGATTATATAGCCAGGACGCACTAGGATTCATGATCTTTTTGTACAAATTAGAGAATTATGTAATCCGGAGCAATTGTGCATCCAATAAACGAAAATCTGCTTTGTTTTTTTTATTGGAAATGCAAGTTAGTTTTTGTGTTGAGCAATGATCCTGTGCATAAATTGGGTTAACCTGTATTCTAGAATCTCATTTAGACCAAGTTAGTTCGGTTCATTTAATTTTCATACAAATGCAATTTTTCACGTTCATAAATACTTAAATTTAAAACACTTTCAAATTTAACAAAACATTTGAAATACTTAAAAAGAAAAATTAAACTACTCTATTAGAATTTTCTATCCAAGACATTCTCACAAAGTCTTTCAACTTTTAACTCTCTAACTATTGTATCAAGAGAACTCGTAAATATTTCTCAGAAATTAAAAGCGATTATTATTTTTTTTTTTTCTGGTTTAACCAGGAAGAGTTCTATGCAGTACCTTAAAGCAAAATATTTATCAAATGGTTTTAATGAATTGGTAGGATGTTGATGACTCGTTCTATCAATATACCTATGTTTTCGATCCAACGTTAATTTTAACAAGTTAAAGAAATTAAATTCAATATTATGAAACCGAATTCAAGTTATATTTTGAATCGTACTAATCCGATATCCTGTATATATTGTTTTAAAATTTATACATTTTAACTATTATATATTAATATGAGATTTTTTGTTTAATAGAAAATATTTTGCATAAATATTATATTGATATTAATTGCTTAAAAGTATGCACAATAAAATATGCTTTAATTTTTAATTTTATACTTCAATCTTATGATTTGGCAATAATTTAATTTCTGAGAGTCAATCAGCATTTTTGAAAGGACGGCTAATTCTTGATAGTGTCTTGATTGCCAACGAAATTCTAGAAGAGGCAAAAAGAAAGAAAAAAACAATGCTTGATGTTGAAGGTTGATTTTGAGAAGGCTTATGATTCTGTCAATTGGGAGTTTATTTTGTTTGTTATGGAAAAAATGAGGTTTCCAATTTTGTGGAGGAGGTGGATAGCAGAGTGTTTAGCCACTGCTAGAGTGTCTGTTCTTGTGAATGGAAGTCCATCTAGTGAATTTGGAGTTGGTAGAGGGTTGAGACAAGGAGACCCACTGGCTCCTTTTCTTTATTTGATTGCTGCAGAAGGATTGTCTTCTTTGATGTCTAAAGCAGTGCAAGAATGTGTGTTTACAAGCTATATGGTTGGTGGGGATGCAATGCCAGTATCACATCTACAGTATGCTGATGATACTATCCTAGTGGGCGATGCTACTATGAGTAATGGTTGGGCTATTAAAGCTATTCTACAGCTGTTTGAGTTAATAGCCGGTCTTAAGGTTAATTTCTTCAAAAGTCAGCTCTTGGGTGTTAACGTTGACCAAGTTTGGTTGCAGTCTTTGGCTCAATTTCTAAATTGCAAAGTTGGGTCTTTCCCGTGCTCTTATCTAGGATTACCACTTGGTGCTAATCCCGCTCGCTTGACGACCTGGCAGCCCGTGGTGCGGAAGGTGGAAAAAAAGTTATCAAAATGGAAGAGCAAATTGTTGTCCTTCGGTGGTAGGCTTGTGCTCTTGAAATCCGTACTCCACTCTATCCCGATCTACTTTCTTTCCTTCTTCAAGGCTCCCAAAGGAATCATTTCACATCTTGAATCTCTGTTCTCAAATTTTCTTTGGGGAGGGGATGATGAACATAGGAAATTAGTTTGGGTCTCTTGGGCTGATGTGTGTCGAGAAAAACAGTATGGGGGACTAGGTTTGAGAGATTTGAGAGCTTTCAATTTTGCTCTATTAGGGAAGTG